ATTACAACAAATGGATTTTCTTACTCTTTGTATTTCTATATCAAAATGGTACAAGATTATCCTATTTAAATCAACGTGATAAACGAGTTAGGTTAAAAGTAATAAAAAAGTAGTCTGAGTGTTCATGAGAGAGTGGTGTTCCAGCAGATGACGTAGGACAGCTCTGGTGAGAAGTGACGAACGAGAAAGCGCAGAGGAGAGAGCAAAACAAATTCACTGCCATTATAAAGCTTGGAAGAGCCAGGACATTTTTTAATATAACTCAGATATACACCTAAAATGGCTTGAGGGTAAGTAAATCATGGAGTAATCTTCATTTTTGGGTGAACTATCCCTTTAATGTAAATCAAGATTATTTTGAAATCATTTTAAGAGACATTTTATCTTGAAAAGATGAGATTTCAAAATAATCAGATGCAGTACTATTTCAAAATAACCAGATAGAATCTCCAATAATGATGTGTTATCTTGAAATAATGACCTGTGTGCTGGATTTTTTGATTTGATGTGGCAGAAACACAAATGCCGTGTGGTAGAGCAGAGAATTATTGCCACACACAAGATCACAAATATCATAAAAAGAGAAAAATCACATGCTGCCTCCATCTGTGAACACTAAGAATTCTCAGGAAGCAAGTGACTGTCAGAGTCTAATAAGCTACTGGTGACAAGATGCTTTGCAAATGCTCAGTATATAAAACTCTGAGCCATAACGGATTCTCTATCTACTGCATATCAAAACCTGATCTCTGATTAGCTCCTGCATGGCACTGAATGAGAAACTTCTGAATATGTGGAGAGGGTATTAGTCTGAAACTCCTGGAGGCTTTCCTTCAGATGGAGGATTATATCAAGGTCACTGAGGTACTGGGAGGATTGGGTATGGCAGTGCCAGCTGTACCCACTCTTCTGACGTCCTCACATGCCTCTGCTCTCACGGGCAGCTGACGGTTATGGTCACGGCGGTCAAGCCTGCTCTGCGTTACCTAACTGGAGCAAAAGTTGGATGCAGAAGAGCTGAGCTTTAGATTACACTCTGGCACTCAAGACTGGCACCGATGCCTAAGCGAGCAGCAGTGAACATAAGAGCATTTCCTCTAAGGATGGAAGCAGAAATATGATAAGGCTGTAAACATCCTGAAGCTGACGGTATGCATGAGAGCACAGACGGCTAACTGAGGCAACTTCAAATCCCAAAACATGCTGTCTACACGCACACCGTCAAGTCATATGTCCTCGACACGGAGTAACAAGTGTAACTGTGAGTAAAGCACGGCGTCCTGCAGGGATGTGGAGATTTGTTTAAAACCCTGGGTAAATGTAATCCGGGGTTATCTATCTACTTCTCACTGCTCTTTCTCTACCCTGGGCTAGCAATTAATCCTGGGTAGTCATGTTTAAAAATTTCACACTGTACATTTGTAAACACTGTTATTTGTATATTAACACTCTTATTTGCATATATGTTGCATATATTTATGAGGTCAACAACACTGACTGGACGAAAAATGTTGCAATCCAGTTTGGCGGTTTTAAGCCTCCTGAAATGCATCAAAGCAGATGCTGAAAATGAAACAGCAAAAAGACAGATGCTGAAATTAAACAGCATTTCTGTGGCTCTACAAAGCGCATTAATACTTAATGAGATGTTTGTTTAGTTGGTAATGCTTTATAAGAAGGTTCAATTCATTAACACTAATTAATGTATTTGATATCATGAACTAAAATACTTTTTTTCACAGCATTTATTAATCTAGATTAATGTAAATTTGTAAATATAAGTGCCATTTTTCATTAATTCATGTTTATTCGCAACACACTAACAAATTATAATTTAGACAAGAAATGGTTAGAGAGTCGCACTTGTAACCCAAAGGTCACAGGTTCGAGTCTTGTTACTGGCAGGGATTGTAGGTGGGGGGAGTGAATGACCAGTGCTCTCTTCCACCCTCAATACCACGACTGAGGTGAAACCCTTGAGCAAGGCACTGACTGAACCCCCAACTGCTCCCTGGGCACCGCAGCAAAAATGTGTGTTCACGGTGTGTGTGTGTGTGTTTGTTCACTAGTCACTGCTGTGTGTGTGCATTTGGATGGGTTAAATGCAGAGCACACATTCCAAGTATCACCATACTTGGCCACACGTCCTTTCCTTTCCTTTCCTTTCCTTTCCTTTCCTTTGATAATGGTAATGCTACCATTTAAAAGTTTGGAGACTGTAAGACTTGTGTTTTTTTTTTAAGTCTCTAATTCTCATCAAGACTGCATTTATTTGATCAAAAGTATCGTACAACAGATAAAACAGTTAAATGTTGAATTATTATTACAATTTTAAATTTCATTACAATTTTACATTTTCTATTTTAATATATCTTAAAATTTATTTCTGTGACGCAAAGCAGAATTTTCAGCAGACATTACTATACACGTTTTTTTTTCTCTCTCTCAGAATTCTTAAAAGGTAGAAAATTCTATATACAGTGTGTGCATAATTATTATACAAGTTGATATTCTGGTCATTTTTTCCCAAGCACATTTGACCAT